GATCAAACTGACTTTTTCCTCTTAAAAAAATAACTTTGTTGAGGTTATAATTTACATACCATAAATTCACCCATTTTAAGTATACAAAAATCAATGATTTTTAGTTTTAGATTTAGATTTAGCAAGTTGGATAGGGACCAAGGGCAGGTCACCCCAAAATGTACCACTTTGGCATGCAGATTATTTTAAGCTGGAAACAGTCAAGGCCCAAAAGACTCAAGAAGAAACTTTGACTTTCCTCCAATTGTCTAAAAAGAATTTAGGTGGAGGACCTGCTCCAGGAAGGGACCTATGGCCATGGATAACTACAGTATAATATGAACTAGGGGTGGTACACAGGAAGGAATTTAGCAGTCTGTTAAAATTCCTCTCTATGTCCCATTGTTTCTGAATGGCCCAGCAAACTGACTGAGCACCCAGGCGTCACACTATCTCATGTCAGTTTAATTCTTAGACTGTCTAGAAGAAACTTGAAGGATAGAGTAAAATTTTTTCCTCCCCAACATGTGCAACTATCACCATATCCAGTTTTAGAACATTTTCTTCTCTCTAATGAGATCCTTCATATCTGTTGACAGTTGATCCCCATTTCCACCCTTAACCTTAAAGCAAACATGAATTTACTTTCCTGTCACTATGGATTTGCCTTTTCTGGACATTTCATGTAAATAGAATCATATAATCTTTTGTGTTTGGCTTCTTTTATTTAGCATAGTGTTTTTAAACTTCATTCATAGTGTTTTAAACTTCATTCATAAATTTTTATTAGTGTTGGTATTCCATTATGGATATACCGCATTTTGTTTATTGCTTCACCAATTGATGGACACCTGGGCTTTTCCCACTTTTGACTATTATGAATAATGGTGCCATGAATGTTAATATACATATCTTTGTGTGAACATGATTTGTTTCTCTAGAGTAGATATGTAGGAAAGGAATTTCTGGGTCAATGAAAAAATCTATAATTAACTTTTAAAGAAACTGCAAAACTGTTTTTCGAAGTGGCTGTACTACTTCATATTCCCATCAACAGTGTATGAAAATTCCTGTTTCTTCACATCCTTGCTGACACTTGACACTTTCTGACCGTAGCCATCCTAGTGGACAGGAAGTGGTTTCTCATTGTGGTTTTAATGTGCATTGCCCTAATGACTAATGATATTAAGCATCTTTCATGTGTTATGAGTCTTTGTACATCTTTGGAGAAATATCTATTCAAATATTTTGCCCATTTAAAAATTGGATTGTTGGGCGCCTGGGTGGCTCAGCTGTTAAGCGTCTGCCTTTGGCTTGGGTCATGATCCCAGGGTCCTGGGATCGAGTCCCACATCAGGCTCCCTGCTCAGCGGGAAGCCTGCTTCTCCCTCTCCCACTCCCCCTGCTTGTGTTCTTGCTCTCACTATCTCTCTCTGTCAAATAAATAAATAAATCTTTAAAAAAATTTAAAAAAAATTGGAATGTCTTCTCATTAAGTTGTAAGAGTTCTTTGTATATTCTGGCTATAAGTGTTTGCCATATGTGTGATTTACAAATTTTTTTCCCATTCTGTGGCTCATCTTTTCATTTTCTTAATGATGTCTTTTGAGTGCAAGCTTTTAATTTTTATTTTAAATTTTGAAATAATTTAAAGTTCACAGAAGTTGCAAAGATAGTGCAGAGCAGTCCCATTATCCTTCACCCAGTTTCACTCCCAAATTTTGAATTTTAATTAAGTCCAATTTACTATTTTTTTAATGGATCATGCTTCTTGGATTGTGTCTAAAAAATCTTTGTATAATCCAAGGTCTTGACATAAACCCAAAGTTTATAGCTTTAGCTTTCTTTCTTTCTTTCTCTCTCTCTCTCTCTTTTTTTTTTTTTGTAATCTCTGGGGGTGCTTGGGTGGCTCAGTTGGTTAAGGGTCTGCCCTTGGCTCCGGTCATGACCCCAGGGTCCTGGGATAGAGTCTGCTTCTCCCTCTCCCTCTGCCCCTCCCCACATTCATGCTCTCTCTCTCAAATAAATAAATAAAATCTAAAAAAAAAAAAAGTAATCTCTGTGCCCAACATGGTGCTTGAACTCATGACCCTGAGATCAAGAGTTGCATGTTCTATCAACTGAGCCAGCTAGGCACCCCGGCTTTAGTTTACACTGATGTCTTTGTTCCATTTTGAGTTAATTTTTGTATATAGTGTGAGGTAAAGGTCTACATTCATCTTTTTGCATGTGGATATCCAGTTGTCCCAGCACCATTTGTTGAAGACTCTTTTTCTATCAATCTGCCTTTGTCAAAAATCAATTGGTCATAAATATAAAAGTTTATTTGTGAATTCCCAAATCTGTTCTATTGATCTATGTTTATCCTTATGTTAGTATCAAACTGTGGGTTTTTTTTAAAAGATTTTATTTATTTATTTGACACAGAGAGACACAGTGAGAGAGGGAACACAAGCAGGGGGAATGGGGGAGGGAGAAGCAGGCTTCCCACTGAGCAGGGAGCCCGATGGGGTGCTCGATCCCAGGACCCTGGGATCATGACCTGAGCCGAAGGCAGACGCTTAATGACTGAGCCACCCAGGCTCCCCAGTATCAAACTGTTCTCATAACTGTAGCTTATTTAAATTTTAAGATTAGGAAATGAAAACGCCCAACTTTGTTTTTTTTCACAATTTTTTGGCTATTCTGTGTCTTTTGAATTTCCATATACATTTTAGATATAGCTTGTCAAAATTTCTGCAAAAAAAGGCCTGCTGGAAATCTGATGGACATTGAGTTGAATCTATAGATCAATATCAGGGGAACTGCCATCTTAACAATATTGAGTGTTTCAATCATTGAACATGGAATGTTTCTCCATTTATTTAAATCATATTTAATTTCCCTCAGCATTGTTTTGGAATTTTCAGTGTACGGGTCTTGCACTTCTTTTGCTAAATTTATTCATAAGTATTTTATTCTTCTTAATACTGTGAGTGGAATTGTTTTCTTATTTTTATTTTCAGATTGTTCATTCTCATATGTAGAAATACAATTTATTTTCATATATTAATCTTGTATTCTGCAGCCTTGCTCAACTTGCTTGCTAATTTTAATAGGGGTTTTTGTGCATTTGTGTCTATTCCTTAAGATCTTCCAGGTACAGAATCATGTTGTGTGCAAATAAGAATGGTTTTACTTCTTCCTTTTCTTTCTTTTTCTTGTGATTGTACAGGCTAGAACCTCCAGTATGATGTTGAATGGCAGTTGTAAGCGCTGATATTCTTGCATTATTTTTTCACCATTAACTATGAGGTTAGCACTAATTCAAAAAGAGATATGCACCCCTATGTTTGTTGTAGTATTCTTTACAATATTCCAATCATGGAAGCAACCCAAGTGTCCCGTGATACATGAATGGATAAATAAGATGTAGTATATATACATAATGGAAGATTACTCAGCCATAAAAAGAATGAAATCTTGTCATTTGCAACATGGATGGATCTAGAGGGTATAATGCTAAGTGAAATAAGTCAGTAAAAGACAAATACCATATGATTTCACTCATATGTGCAATTTAAGAAACAAAACAAACGAACACAGAATAAAGAGACAAAAAAATCCAGACTCTTAAATACAGAGAACAAACTGGTGGTTACCAAAGGAAGGTGGGTAGGGGGATGGGTGAAATAGGTGATGGGGATAACGAATACACTTACTGTGAAGAGCACTTAGTAATATATGGAATTGTTGAATCACTATATTGTACGCCTGAAACTAATATAACACTGTATGTTAATTATATAGGAATTTAAAAAATAAATTTAAAAAAAGCATGATGTCAGCTGTAGGTTTTTCATAGATGTCCTTTTTTTTTTTTTAAAGATTTAATTTATTTATTTGAGAGAGAGAGAGATAGAGCACGAGCAAGGGGAAGAAGGAGAAGTAGGCTCCCTGCTGAGCAGGGAGCCCAACGTGGGGCTCAATCCCAGGGTCCTGGGATCATGACCTGAGCTGAAGGAGACACTTAAATGACTGAGCCATCCAGGTGTCCCTCATAGATGTCCTTTTTCACATTGAAGAAGTTATCTTCTCTTTCAAGTTTATTGAGAATTTTTTTTTATGAATTGGATTTTGTCAAATGCTTTTTCTGCATCTATTGAGATGATTGTGTGGTTTTTATCCTTTATTCTATTTTTTAAAAAGATTTTATTTATTCATTTGACAGAATGAGAGAGAGATCTCTGAGAACACAAGCAGGGGGAGCGGCAAAGGGAGAGGAAAAAGCAGGCTCCTCACTGAGCATAGAGCCTGATGTGGGGTTCAATCCCAGGACCCCGGAATCATGACCTGAGCTGAAGGCAGACACTTAACCGACTGAGCCACCCAGGTGCCCCTCCTTTATTCTATTAATATGGTATATTAACATTAGTTCATTTTATAATATTAAACGATCTTTACATTCCTGGTTTGAATGCCATTTGATCAGAGTGTATAATCCTGGATTCAGGATCAATCTGACTTTGGAAGAAATGCAGAAATTAGTCAAGTGAAGTGGTCTCTACAAAATCTTGTTGGTTTTAATGATATTCTTAAAAAATTAGAAAGGTCAACTATGAGTATCTTTTATCATTAGGACCAGTAACCCAAAAGACTGAAAGCAGTTCTAGTGAGTATAATCTATGTTGCAACTATCAATGTAGAATGTGTTTTGAAACTATGCATTCTTCTAATGTTATACAAATATTTTATTAACCTGGATAAGGAGGAGTCAATTCAATTTGTGAAACCTTCTTATTCATTTTTTTTTTAAAGATTTTATTTATTTGAGAGAGAGAGAAAGGGAGGGAGAGAGTGAGCAGGGGGAGGGGCAGAGGCAGAGGGAAAGAATCTCAAGCAGACTCCATGCTGAGCGTGGAGCCGGATGCAGGCGGGGCTTGATCCCACAACCATGAGATCATGACCTGAGCCGAAATCAAGAGTTGGACACTCAACTGACTGAGCCACCCAGGTGCCCCTTCTTATTCATTTCTTAATGGTATCCTTTGAGACCATTAGTCATTTTATTTCATTACTACAATTATAGGCTCAAAGTCTTACAACCTTTCTGAAAGACAAAAACTCAGAAAATTCAAACTGTGCAATTTTAATATCTAGCTTTTGTTTTGAACAGTGAACATAATGGATTTATCCCCGCTTTCATCTTTTTCTTTCAAAATGAGTTTGAAAAGATCTTTCTCTTCTTTACAAGCTAGAAAGTATCCTTTGTACAACGAAGACTCAAATTGTATCTTATCGTCATGTCCTGGAACACTTCTCTGAAAGAATACGATGTCATTTCCTTCATCGTTGATACTATCGGGAGGACACATTTCCTAGAGAGAGAAAAAAAAGATGATTTAATTTTTTAAGGACATGAACAATTTGAATATGTGTGGTTTATTTTGAAGTATATTACTGCACAGAACTAAAGAAGTTTTTATTCTCAAGAGTCAAACAAACAAACCTTTTAATATAAGAATACTGATCTCCTCTCCCTCTTTTTTTTTTAAATTTTATTTTATTATGTTATGTTAGTCACCATACAGTACATCATTAGTTTTTGATGTAGTGTTCCATGATTCATTGTTTGCGTATAACACCCAGTGCTCCATGCAGTACGTGCCTCTTTAATACCCATCACCGGGCTAACGCATCCCCCCACCCCCTCACCTCTAAAACCCTGTGAATTGTGTAAGACTGATGAATCCTCTCCCTCTTAATTCCAAATCTATTCTCCCTGTTTACTCTGGCTTTTCCCACCGTTGAATGCACGTTCAGGTTTAGGCCTGTAGTTTCTCCCAATTTACCCATCGGATAGCTTCCTTTTCTCCTCTCCCCCAATTGGAGTCCATATCTGGTCAAGATGAAGTAGAGTTCCAGCAGAGACCACGTGTTTGTGCTAAGGTCAGTTCCTGTCTTCTTCAACCATTCACAGCTAAAGACATTGATGAGCTAGGCTAGGCAAAGGCTAGCTCTTGTTTCTGAGCCAAATGTGAGAGAGGCAGAAAGTGGCAGGCATCTCAGCTTCTTTCTTCCTTGAGCAGAGCCTGGGACTGAAACGTGCTGTAAATAGACCCACTGCTTGTCCTACGGCCATGTCCTGGGTTCCAGTGTAGCCCTGCTTATTGGCTTAGACAGCACTTTTCTCTGTCAAGCACTCTAGTCCCATAGTAGTTCTGAATTTCTATCCTGAAATTGGCTGGGCTCTGCTCTGAACCAAATGCTGATTCCTATATCCTTCAGCCCCAGCATAGGGTTTTCTCAAGGATAGCTAGACCACAGGAAACTGTTGGTCACCCAACTGACTGTACTGCCTGCACTTTTCCTATTATTGCATCATACCTACTTTTCAGGATGGACTAGAAAATGTAAAGACCACCTGAGGTTCTTTCCATGTTAATCCCAGAGCCAGCAGACTTTTTTTTTTTTTTTTTTGAGCTTAATTTTGACCCCCGGTAGCAAAGATTACCATGATCCTGTCTAAGGACTGATGGAGAGACCTCCAGACACAAAATAGCATTCTAGCATCCTCCCAAGATGCCTGAAAGAACCTGGGTGGGGGGTACCTCCAAACTTCTCAAACACTTGTGGAATTTATAGTCCTAACTCTTGACCTTTGTCCTTTATCAACAAGTGAAGAGTTCTGAAATGATGAGAGTATAAACTAGTTCACCCCAGCTCATCTGCAGCTGTCTACAATATACCAGAATTTAGGGAGACTCCAAGCCGGGGGAGCCAATTTGCGACTAAGCTAAAGTCTAATGTATAAGTGATAAGTCATCCTTAGCTAAAACTTCAAAAGCTCTAGAAATACTAGAGCGAGATAAACTTTTTACTTCAAACCTAGTGTGGAAAGTTATAGTTGAAAGTGGAGGTGTGGATAGGTAGAATAAGTGATCTCTAACTAGTTCAGTGTCCTATTTCAGAACAGAGGCAAGGAAATCTTGGGGCAGTAGCTCTCCTTGGCTTTAGTGTTAACTATTGACAGTCCTCATAGGGAAGATGCACAACAAGTGGATGTGGAAACAATCCCAGTGACCTTGGGAAACCCTCAACTTGGAAAGCCCTACCTGGCAAAACTTGAGTCTCCAAGGGCCTAAGGTATTTTTTACATCAGGAGGGGTTGAATCTGAACCCAGGGGAAGGTAAGCTTGACCTAACATCTGTTAGTTTGGTCCTCTCCCCAGTAAGTCTGAGAGAACTTAAAAATAACTACATAAATGGGGGCGCCTGGGTGGCTCAGTCGTTTAAGCGTCTGACTCTTGATCTCAGCTTGAGTCTTGATCTCAGGGTTGTGAGTTCAAGCCCCATATTAAAATTTATTTATTTAAAAAAATAAATAAGAAAATAACATATATCAATTGAAAGCTGAAGGATGTAGCCAAGACTTAGGCTAAGAAGCAGGGACAAAATAATTAAGGATTAAAATACCATAATTTACAAAGTAGAAGGATTACAGAAGGATATTTAACTTCATTCTGTATGGCAGGACTCATTCTAGAAATTCACATGCCATTCTTTAATATACATGATAATTCATGTCTGTACTCTATATTCTTACTTTATCTATAGGTTGATTATTCAGAAGACTCGGGTTCTGAAACAAGTCTTGTGCCCGTTCCTCCCTACAACAGGCTCAGAAAAACCATGATGTCATTGCAATAAGTTAGAGAGTCTGACAATTTTTAGTAACTATCCATATTAAGGCTTCTCTGCTTCTTGCTATTTTTGTTCTAGATAAAAGCTAGGACTGAGGATATTTGGGTTTTTAAATTTTGCACAAAAATATGACTAAAACAAGTCAGTCTTACCTTAAAGGAAATAGTTTTGTTCTTACAGGAGAGAGTAGACATTCTCCTACACTTCACAGAGATGGTTACTGCCAGACCTCTAGTGAGGCTATCTTTATACATATATATGATAAATACAGTATGGGGTGCGTTATCTGAAACAAACATTAATAAATGAGAACACTAGTTAGAAGTTTTGCAAATCAGTATTTATGGAAATTAGCCTAAGGATAATCCTTAATAGACCCATTATCATTACTCTGAGATTCAGCCTGTTAAATAGGTGCCCTCAGATTCTTTAAAACACACTCACAATATGTATTATAACACAAATGCTTCAACTTTTTGAGTGTTTTACAGATACTCTGAGTTCATTAAAAGATTGTTTTTAACTTCTAAATGCTAAATAGAACATTTAAAGTATCTGTTAAGGTAAAAATTTAGTTTTTTTTTTTCAAAAGTGCACTTCACTGTTTCAACTCTGCCTCAACTCTGATTTGGAATTCAAACCTTGGAAGGCACAGTAAACTGATTCACTTTATAAGGCACTCTAAATTTCTGGGGTAAGACAGACTTACTTGAAATGCTTGTGTATTTATTTTTAATTTTGAGTTTCGAAAATGCCATCAGCAATTTTAGCTATGAGCAGCAGGTATCAAGGATCCATTTGAGATCCTATATAGTTAATGCAATTACAGTGAAGGGATTGGTGACCCACATGTAGGCAATGTCTTTATTGCATCAGTTTTTCACCCCAGCTAAAAAAATGTGGGATACCCTGTCAAGTTTCTTGTGAGTGAAGTTGTTACTACTCTTAGGACTTTTCATCTGAGGATTAGGTCTATCACAGAAAAACAGAGATAGTTAAATGGAATGAGAAGAAGTAGCAGCTTGTCACTTTTATGTTACAAATATATATTAAAAAAATAATACCTGTACAGTCAGAATCAGGCATATCCTCAAACACGGGTTGATTTTCCTGGTTAACGAAGAGAACTTGGTCGTTCAAATTTCGTATGATTGAGATTTTAGGTTCAAGCTTGCCAAAGTAATCTGTTTCCAGGTTGTCTACAATGCACATTAAATTTCATTTAAAAATACATTTTTCCCTCTAAATTTACAAATAAGCATACTATATATTTCAGTTTTCAATAGCTACTAATCATAATCTTCTGGTACATAAGCAGCTAGGGCAACATTGCACGGTGTTTTTTAACCCACTTCCAAGAGCACAGCCAGTTCTTGTTATCACCCAGAACTACTTTTCCTCTACAGTATTATATTCAAATATCCTATTTTCCAACCACTGTCTCCCATCCTTTTACTTTCTTAAGCTTTTCCTCTACTTCAGAGCCTCCTGCCTCTTACATTTTCTCCGTCTAACCTCTTCCTGTCCTCCCTTTCTTCTCTATGCAGCCTGGACCTCACGGCTCATCATTTTATCCACCTTTTTGCCAGAATCTTAAATCCCGAATTTATTTATCTGCCTACTACAAAATCCCCAAACTTGGCTGCTGAGTCTTGCTGGTGAATAATTATACATATGTACAAGTTGGTGCCATCACAAATTCACCGATTGTCAATACTTCCTTTCTGTTACACTTCAGTATTCTTCCGTAGTCCAGAGCTGCAATTCCAAACCTTCTCCTGTCTCCTAGGGATCTCTACATTGTCACCTCTGCTTTCGCTTTCAGCAAATGATTTCCTGCCACTCCACTTAGAAATGTAACTGTGGCAGCCCCTGCTATTTCCTCTATGCCTCTTGTCCCAAGAGGAAATGTGGAAAAGTTGCCCCTTTTGGTGTCCAGAGCTAACCCCATCTGTGCTCTGTATGTATCTTCTACTGAAACCTGGATTTACCAATCATCCCCTCTCTTCTATCAACCAGCCGTTCTATTCCTGGATCTTATTCTAAAGAAACAATCAGGCAAATTTGTAAATATTTCACTACACAAATGCTTATAGGAGCATTGTTAATAATAGCAACAAACTGGAAACAACTCAAATGCCATCAATTGGGGATTGACCAAAAACATTTTGATAGGCCCTTACTATGGAAGATCACAGATTGAATATAACTGTAATTATTCATTGCCATGGAAAGATATGCATGTGAATTTAAACTAGAAAAAGAATCTTAGGTATAGTATAACATATACTGAAAGATGTGTAGGAATATTGCATCAAAATGATAGCAATGATTATTTCTGGGTTATTTTCATGCTTTTATTTTTCTTATTGTTCTTAGCTTAATTGCCTAAAATTATTTGCAATAAACATTATTTTTATAAGAAAAACATAAAGCTCTTTTCACTTTGAGATTTAAAATCTCTCTATCAACCATATTCCACTCTGTAGCTGGCCTTGTTTCTCTCTTCCTTTTAATAACCATGCTTCTGGCAAGAATTGTCTGTATCACTTCCTTACCATTCACTCTTCTACTAATTGCTGTCTGCATCTGCCTCCATTTCTTTTTCTTTTTTCTTTTTTTTTTAAGATTTTATTTATTTATTTGATAGAGAGTGAGAGAGAGCATGAGCTGGGGGAGAGGCAGATGGAAAAGGAGAGGGAGACTCCTGGCTGAGCAGGGAGTCCGACCCGGGGCTCCATCCCAGGACCCTGGGATCGAGCCCGACCCGGGGCTCGATCCCAGGACCCTGGGATCATGATCTGAGCCGAAGGCAGACACTTAACCCACGGAGCCACCCATTTCTCCCCTCTGCCTCCATTTCTCCATTAAACTGCTTTCACTGAGGTCACCAAATTCCCTGTTGCTAAATGTAATAGAGCTTTCCAGCCCTTGGTGTTCAAGGCTGCAAAATCCAACAGGCTACCTTTTACCTCCAGCTTGAAAGGCTCTCCTGGGATTCCATGACATTCTCTTGGTTTTTCTCCTTCCTCTTTGGTTACTCTGCTCTGTTCTTTATTAGCTTCTTTTTCTACTGCATCCTTTAAATGTAGGTATTTCCTCAGAGTTTAGTCACTGACTCTTACTTTCTCCCTTTACACATTTCCTCTGATTTGTCTTTTTATTCCTGTAGCTTCAGATGCCATTTCTATACATAAGCCTCCTACATCTATATAACCAGCCCAAATTTTCATCCCGAGCTCTGAACTATATGTCCAAGGGTCTACTGGACATTTCCACTACGATGTCCCACAGATAAGAACCAAAACTAAATTTATGTCTTCCTCTTTGCTCTGCATACCTCTTTACCCTGCTCTTCCTCTTGTGTTTCCTACAAATTGCCTAAGTGAAAAAATGTAGCCATTATCTCTTCTGTCTTTCTCTCCATCTCATTCTAAATCCAGCCCCAATCATGTCCTGTTGATTCTTCCAAATATGTCTAAAATCCCTCCACAGCTCTTCATTGGCACCCACTGTGCCTACCTTAATCCGTGTCACCGTCATTTCTTACAGGGACTGCAATAATAGCCTCTTAATTGGCATCCCCCCCTTCTGTCACACATCAGTTCTTTACACTGAAGTCAGAAGGAATTATAATTCAATTTTAATTAAGTTAAAATTCAGAGAGATGATCATTTATCTCTGAATTTTAATGAGGTGCATGGCTACACAGAATAAAGATCATATTTTCAGATTTCCTCGAAGTTGGTGTGGCCACATGACTAAATTCTAATGGATGGAATGAGTGCAGTTGATGTGTATGACTTCCAAGTGGAGCCTCTAAAAGAAATGGGGCTGTCTTCCTCTTACTTTGAACCCTTTCTTGCTAGCTGGGATATGGACCCAGGAAGTGTGGTAATGCTTTTCAAGTATGTGAATGAGTTCAACAGCTTAGGGATGCTGGAATAACAAGAGAGAAGAAACTTGAGATCCCAACATCATCAGGCAGTATCTAGCCATGCTAATGCTGAACTACCTACTTGGTCTTGTGTTTGACAGAAACATTTTCTATCTTATTCAGTTACTATATTTTTGGATCACTTTGTTACAGCAAACTACTCTGTATTCCAGATCATATAAATTGTGCTTAATGAGTCCCCATTATCCCAAAGATAAGATCCAAATTCCCTATCTTGGAATAAGAGAACCTTCTTTATCTGCGCCCTATTTATCATTCTTCTCACACCATTCTCCTACTCCCATTCTGAGTTACTTTTAATTCCCCATAGGTGCCATGCTTTCTTTCATATCTTGGCCTTTGCATGTGGTCTTCTCCCTGCCTAGAATACTTTCTCTTGGCTAACTCCTATTCACTCTTCAAATCTGTCCCTCCTTCAAAGTGCCCTCCCAGAATCTACTGGACTGAATTAGGGGCCCCTTCCATGTGCTCCCATAGCATCCTGTGCCTTTGTTAACACTTGACATACCATAGTCCATTTGCCTTCCTGATGTGCCTGCTTCTTCCTGTAAGAGCCATGTTTTGTTCGCCATTGTATCCTACTGTTTAACATAGCACCTGGGATACAGATGCCAATATGTATTGAATTAAATAAATGGAGAGTAGGACAGTCTTTAAGAAGCATGAGGAGTTATATGTCATTTATATCTCAATAAAGCTGGGGGGATAAAAGAAACATGAAAAAATAGTATTTTTTCAAAAAAGTTGCTATCTTCTATTTCTAGTCCAGTAAGGATCACCTTAAGAATGGGAAAAGTGATATTTTTAAGGAAAAGTATGAGAAACTAATGGCCTTTCATAATCTGGGGGCCTGTTAGAGGATCACAGGCCAGACTTGGGTATGATCCTACCTGAATGCCAGGCCAAGGACTGGGTGCATCCACATCTTAATAAGACTCAATGACTCAGCCTCATAGTTCTGCTTGCTCTCCCCTTCCCCATCTCCTCTATTTCCAGAATTCCCTATACCCTGGGAGCCTCCCAGGCTTCTTCCCAAAGCATTTCTGAGAGAGGGGGTTGAAGAAGGAGGAATCTCTTGATTTTGGACAGTTCTCATGCTTCACTCCCCTTTTCCTCCAGAGAATCCATAACTTCCTGCTAATCTCAGGATCTGTATAACAGATAATCTACTTTGTAGATTCTAAGAGCTGGAGAATTTCCTAAGGTGTAGAGAGAAGCATATTTTGCTAGAGGTTCTTCTCTGTATCTCTTAGGGTCACCTTTATTCCAAGGCTGTGCTATCGAGTCCACATTCCTTTGTGGGAAGATTCACTTCTCAAATATACTGGTACTAGCTTCTCTCAGCTAAGAGTGGTGATATGGACGTGTCTGAGAGATGCTTACTAAAGTAGTTACTTATTTTACAAAGAAAGAGAAATAAATTTATACTTTACCATCATTTTCAGCTAAAGGGGAAAAAAGAGAAACAAAATATGTTGAATTCTATATTTCAATTCAGAATATCTTTTACCCTACCATTTCATTACTCTCCTGTCACTCCCCAATATTTAACCACTATCTTACCAGTGATAGCTTTTGTGGGCCTCCATCAGAAATATTATATAATCATCCCAAAGGTCCCATAAAATGAAGCTCATTAGACTTAGTGTGTTCACAGGTAAATGAGATAAAAAACCTATATCCCAGGTTTATAAATTTGAATTTTCAGTTAAAAGGAAATTTTATAAAATGATAGATTTACTCTTAAGTTTATTGTTTAAATGGAAAGTCACCTAGGGACTTTCTTTTCTTTTTTAGATTATTTATTTATTTATTTGACACAGAGAGAGAACACAAGCAGGGGGAGTGGGAGAGGGAGAGGCAGGCAGGGAGCCTGATGCGGGGCTCGATCCCAGGGCCCTGGGACCATGATCCGAGCCGAAGGCAGATGCCTAATGACTGAGCCACCCAGGCGCCCCACCTAGGGACTTTCTATGAAGCTGTCAAATGAAGCCAGCCTTTCAAGTGAAGCCAAACTGCCCATCGAAGATTAATCATTAGAATCTGTTTTTATTTGTCAAATATTTTTACATGAAATGGTATAACTCACTCACAGAACTCTAGATGTAAGGTATTTCTTATGTGATTTACCAGTTTGTTTTGGGAAATTATATTCCCTGAATTACCCAATTTTGTGGGATTTTCATGATGTGCACCTGAAGCCACCTTATGAGTTGGCTACTGTTAACTAAAGAGCCAGGACATGTGGTGGGACGAGGTGCTAGGATACTGGACATATTATGGTTAATTTCTATTCTCCCCAGAGAATAGTGTCATTAGTATTACAGTGGAATTTGGTGACAAAAAAGAGGCACTTAATAGTTCACTTCACAACATCTTTTCTAGCTGCATACATTTATCTGAACCCTTATTTGGTCTATTGCTTTAGGCTTACCTTTAAAGTAAAGCATATTGTCAATAAATTTCATTTCCACAAAGTTGATGCAATTGTCTTTTCCTGGGTTAGCAGCCATCTTTATTCCTAATGAAAGCAAATCATCATCTGTGAAAAGGTAGTGGTTGTTCCATTTACACAAAAAGAATCTTTTACTACTTACTGCCTTGTACTACTCCAAATTCAGAAGTCAGTGTATCACCCAATATGCCGATGAACACTTTAGACATTTAATAAATGCTTGGGTCTTCAGCTTATGAATACACATGTTCAGATGTTCTCTTACAAACCATCAGATATTTGGAATCTAGAAAGCATCTTCTCATAAAACAGAGTTATAAAGGGTGGATAAGTCATCCACTAATGAACTGAAATATTGTCTTAGTATCTTGGGGGAAATGTATTATCAATATAAATATAGAATGCCTGTCATTTAACTATGAATAGGCTCTATCTCTGTCTTTCAACCAATGGGTTCATGTGCATGGGAGATTGAAGGTTTGTAAGTTCATTGTCAAAGTGCTAGAAGTGAGACAATGATAAAAATGGTGTTTCCACTTGGCAGTGAGGGCCGGGTGGTGAGGGTAGTGGTGGGGGGAGGCTGAAGGGTTTGGCATCTGGAGGCCCTCTCTCCCTATGCAGCAGTAGCTTTAGATCTGGAGTTTGGGTTATAGTATGCTTTTTACACAAGTAATACATAAATATACAGTGTTTCTGTAAAAAACAACAACAAATAATAATATAGGATTTGAAAATGTTAAAACTTATTTTTGTTCTTCTCCTCTGCCCCACCCTACTCCATCCCACTCCAATATAGCATGTATCCTTCCAGATCTTTGTCTATGAAGCAGGGATTCTCTATCTGGGAAGTTTGTGATGGGAAAAAAAATACATATTTATTTTCACGAACTTCTAACTGAAATTTAGCAGTTCCTTCCATTATGGTGTAGGAAACAAACGTATTATTAGCAGTACCTGTAATGTCACTAATAAAAATACAGATTTCCTATTGTGTTATCTTGAGATCTTGAAATAGGGTTTATTTATTTTTTTAAAAGATTTTATTTATTTATTTATTTGACAGAGAAACACAGCAAGAGAGGGAATACAAGCAGGGGGAGTGGGAGAGGGAGGAGCAGGCTTCCCGCCGAGCAGGGAGCCCGATGAGGGGCTCGATGCCGGGACCCTGGGATCATGACCTGAGCCAAAGGCAGATGCTTAATGACTGAGCCACCCAGGTGCCCCAAGATCTTGAAATAGGGTTTAAATTCCTTACTACTTTGAAATATACAGAAGTTACTGGTCATACCCGTAGATTTTGTGATTTATGTGTTAATAAAGAAGCACGTGTATACTACATCAAAATTTGTTAATTTTTTTGATAACCCCATTTTGATATAATAGATTTAATGGTATACATGTAAAAACATTATTTTGAGAAGGGGTCCATAAACTTCACTAGATTGTCCATTAGGATCCATGACACAGAAATGATTAAGAGGCTCTACTCCAGAGTTCAGCGGTACCTTGGGTTCCTGAGGGTAGTTATGGTTGGGGCTCTAAGGCAGGTGCTTGGGTCACACTTGTCATTAGTATATATAGGGGTATTTAAGTCCAAGCTCCTAGGTAGAGAACTGACTCAAATATTTTTCTGGCATAGTCTGCTGAGGCCAGATATATATGGTAGAGGAAGCAGGAAATTAAAACTCAGTTAAAAAACTTAATCCAAATTAAGTTAACCCAAGACACTTGTCAGTTGGTGGCTATTTAACAGTTTAATCTAGATTCAGTTCCTTATACACATACAAATGTGAATAGTTATCAAATTTATACAGATATATAATATACAAGCATATGAAATAATAGCTAGGGTGGTCTTCTCTACAAACTTTAATATTATGTAATGCACTCATATTTTTGGAAAATAATTTACCTGAGAAGTACTAAGTAGTATGTGCAGGAATTGAATGAAATTACTTATGTTTACTACAGTGAGTAGTCAATGAGTGAATGGATTCAGAGGTCACTGTTACCTTAAAAATAATAATATTACACAACATTTGAAATCATTCATCAGTTAATTATTGAGTATGTACTTTGTGTCAGTAATGGAGCTAGAAAGCTGACAAAACATAATACCTACCCTCCAATTACTCAGAGTCTGGTGAAAGACAAATACATAAACAATTACAGAATGGTATAATGAATGCTGTAAGGGCTGGATTTACGAGATCCTCTGTCTGCCTGGCAGTGCTGAGGAAGACCTCTTAGAGGAACTGATAATTGTGCTGGCTTGTAAGAGAGACAGGCATTTTCAAAGCCAGGAGAAGAGCTTTCCACAAAGAGGGAAAATGTGAGCAAAAGCCAAGAAGCAGGGAATTCTGAGAGAACATGGCTTGTTTGGAGCCTATTACTGTAGTTAATGCAAATGCAGCCCCATTTTACAGGAAGAAAGCATTTCTGAAGATCTCACAAAGTTCAAGATTAACTTTTCCTTGGGAATAAATAGAAAAGTATGTAAAGAGATATCCTTGGAGTACACAAATCTACAACAACCAAAGTGTATTCTTGCTTTCTTTCTTTGTTTCAACTTTCTCAGCATTATAAATAATGCTTTGCATAGTGCTTTCTCCACACATTCTGTCATGGTGGTACTTTGGCCCTTTTACCCTTGTTTTCTTGCATCTGACTGTTTTTCCAACTTATTTATTTGGAGGTGCTTCTCAGCACAAGCAGTAACAATATCCCTCAGCACTTTGATAGCATTGCTGTCAGATATAAAAACATTTAAAATTATGAGAGTAGTGAACATTTAAAAAATAGCATCACAATAACCTGTACATCTCAAGAACTTCTGAGGTATTTAAAGGATAGCCTAGCTTACATAATATCAACGTGGAAATAGCTAATTTTGTCAGGTATAAGAGAAACTTAAATGTGTCAAGAGTGTTAACGGTTCACAACTCACTTAGCCTACCAGCTTTGAAATTATGTCATTCTAGATAAGCTAACTTGGAGGACTTCACATATTTTCATTTTGCCTATAAAGTGAGAGTATTATTTATATTACATGGGTTGATTATGCCTAGTTCAATTCACATAAAATGCAATTTGCAATGTAGTTCAATTTGACAAAAGCTCCCAAAGGAGAGTCAGATTATAAAGGCCTTGCTTAAGTAGGCTAAAGAGTTTGAACTGTTTTTCTGAAAAAATACTGACTTTCTTTAAGTAGGAGGAAGACATGGTCAAATTTATGTTTTAAAAAGCTCGCCCTGGCAGCAGTGTAGAGAATGGATTCTATGGGCAAGACTGGACAGAGGCCAGAAAACAACCTCAGAAGCAGTTTTAACAGTTAAGGTAACAGTTGATGAAGATGTAAACTAAGGTGGTGGCTATGGGGATGAAAGGAGACTTAACAGCAGGAGTTTTTAGCTGATTGGTTGTAGATCAAATGGAAGAAGGAGGAACTGCAGGTGAGTTCAAAGTTGCTGGCTTGGGCAATTTGTTGAGTGGTTACCTCATTATAACTAAGAAAAAGGAGAATGACAGGCTTGAGTGGAAAATGCATTCAATTTTGCAAGTCTCAGAGAGAAGTGTCACAGAAGGCAAGATCGAAGCTGCAGAGCCCACAAGCTCAAACTTGTTCATTGAATTTGGCAGTTAGGAAGTTAGGGAATAGAAGAGTTTGGGGAATGTGGAGGGAGTAGAGGCACGCTGACAAAAATCTAGGGCAGCATGGGGTGGGGCAGGATGGGGGGGCAGGTAAGACAGCAAATACAAACTATTCTTTTAGGGAGTTCGGCCATAAAGTGTAGAGAGAGGGTGGTAGTTAGGTTGGGGGGTGGTATGTAACTTGCAAATTTCAGTTTCTGGCTCCAGACCCACAGTCCACCTGCAGGATATACTAATGAATTACTTTCCAAAACATGCCCAAGTAACTTGTCCCAAACGGAAACCTAGGAGTCCTCGATTCCTTTATCTAAACTGTCTCATAAATACTGTAGATTATAACTCAGAAATGTCTCTAGAATTTGGTATCTTCTCTCCGTCTCCACCAGTACTGTTTTTTAAAATTAATTATTTAATTAATTTTACTGACTAATCCAGTTCTTTTTTAAAAATTTAAATTCAATTAATTAACATATAGTGTATTATTAGTTTCAGAAGTAGAGTTTAGTGATTCATCAGTTGCATATAACACCCAGTTCTCATTACATCACGTGCCCTCTTTAATGTCCATCACCCAGTTATCCCATCCCCCCACCCAGCAACCCTTAGTTTGTTTCCTAGAGTTAAGTCTCTTAAGGATCGTCTCCCTCTCTGATTTTGTCTTATTTTATTTTTCCTTCCTTCCCCTGTGATCCTGTTTTGTTTCTTAAATTCTACATATGAATAAAATCATATGATAATTGTCTTTCTCTGATTGACTTATTTCACTTAGCATAATACCCTCTAGTTCCATCCATGTCATTGCAAATGGTAAGATTTCATTTTTTTTTTTATGGCTGAGTAATATTCCACTGTATATATACCACATCTTCTTTCTCCATTCATCTGTCAGTGGACATCTTGGCTCTTTCCACAGTTTGGCTATTGTGGACATGGCTGCTATAAACACTGGGGTGCACGTACCCCTTTGGATCACTACATTTGTATCTTTGGGGTAAATACCCAGTAGTGCAATTGCTGGGTCATAGGGTAGCTCTATTTTTAACTTGAGGAACCTCCCCATACTGTTCTCCAGAATGACTGTACCAGTTTGCATTCCCACCAGCAGTGTAAGAGGGTTCCCCTTTTTCTGCATCCTCGCCAACATCTGTTGTTTCCTGACTTGTTAATTTTAGCCATACTGACTACCCACCAGCACTGTTTTAAATTCAGCCCTCATCACTTCCGGTATCTTCTATTTTAATACCCTTGACTTGGTTTTCTTGCTTCCAGACTCTCCCGGGCTACATATTGTTGCCAGTGTCATTTCTCCTGTCAGGCCGTAACTTCCCTGCTTTTGTTGCCTGCCAAGCCCTTCATTCTTCATCTTTTAAGTCCTCATTCAACATTTTCTCTAGGGAAGCCTCCGTGACTCCTCTGTTCCTACCTAATCATTCTCTCCTCAGTGGCCCCCTCTACCTGCCCCTATTTATGCTTCTCAAATAGCTCTTACTATGCTGAATAAGATTATTTTGATTACAAATAGGTCTGCCCAGCTTCCATCTGAGTTTCTTTACGATGAATTGTCGTTTTTTTCTTAAATCTTCAACACCTGGAAAGAAGCTTATATACAGCAGGAGTTCAATAAATGTTAAATGAATAAACGTTTGTGATAATAAACTGTGTTGCCATGACAACAGTGTATAAAGGGACTGGTAGAAAATTTTCTGTCTTAAAACCTTCACTCCATCTGAAAGCCAATGAGAAGGAGAAGGAAAATGAGGAAAATCCGAAACACATTTCATTTATTTTTTAAGATTTTATTTATTTATTTATTTATTTATTTATTTATTTATTTATTTATTTGAGAGAGAGAGATTGGGAGAGAGAGAGCGTGGGGAGAGGAACAGAGGGGGAGGGAGAGGGAAGGGAGAGAATCCCAAGCAGACCCCATGCTGAGCGTGGAACCCTATAGGGGGGCTGGATCTCACAACCCTGAGATCATGACCTGAGCCAAAAGGAAGAGTCAGATGCTTAACCCATGGAGCCACCCAGGTGCCCCTGAAACATATTTTATTTAATTTATTTTTTAAAGATTTTATTTGTTTATTTGACAGAGAGAGATAGCGAGAGCAGGAACACAAGTGGGGGGAGTGGGAGAGGAAGAAGCAGGCTCCCCGCTGAGCAGGGAGCCTGATGTGGGGCTCGATCCCAGGACCCTGGGATCATAACCTGAGCTGAAGGCAGATGCTTAACGACTGAGCCACGCAGGCAGGCCTGAAACATATTTTAAAAAATAGAGTTTCTCCAATATTCTCCCTCTTTCATTTTTTTCTCTAGTGGTTTCTTTTTTATTTCATGTGAGTGTTTATTTTCTTACCACTCTTTTTGTTAGATATCAGTACATCTACGATTGTAAGTGTTGTGCCCCTTTTCACTCCTCCCCTCAATTTTCCTCTTTTGCTTTATCATCCGTGTTCCTTTGCTTTCTTAACTCTAGTCTATGAAAATTATAGTTCCCATTAGATAGGATGCTTTGACTATTTCATCTAAAATTCTCAGATTATTGAGTTTTTCTTCTTTTAAAGTTACAAACCGCCTCAGAACCATCCTCCTGGGAATATGCAGTGGCAATTGGTTCTTTGAAACAAAAACAGTTTTAGTTATACAAGACTTGGAAACTAGCCAAAGGCTAGTGAATGGTAGAAAATCATGATGGAAATTAGGTCACAAGCTTTGCAATCTTCCTGGGGCAAGTCACTTAATATTGAGGGTCTCAGTTTCCTCATTTGAACAAAGAGGAAGTTAAATGGTTAACTTTTCAGGTCTTAACCAGCTCCAGCATTCTGTAATTCTAGATTCTAGGTAAGGCTGCAAAGAGAGAACCATTTATAATGTGGCAAATATCCTCATAACCACTTTCTTGTAATTCTAACACATGTATTGATTGAATATTTACTGTATAGCCAGCATTGTTAAGCCATAGGAGTTTAAAAACATACAATTAGATTGAAAGTAAAAGTGTCTTGAATTTGAAAAGCAATCATGTTTATCCTTGCTGTGGAATTACAATTCTGTGGCGTAGGCATGGGATGAAATGAGGAAGCATATTACCTAATTCCCTAAAATCATGTATGTAGTCATCTTTTTTTTTTTTTAAGGTTTTATTTATTTATTTTGAGAGAGAGAGAGTGAGCACGAGCGGAGTGAGGGGTAGAGGGAGAAGCAGACTCCCTGCTGAGTAGGGAGCCCAATGCCAGGCTTGATCGCAGGACTCCGGCATCGAGACGGGAGCCAAAGGCAGACGCTTAACCGACTGAACTGCCCAGGCACTCCCACAGTTATCTTAATAGCAGCAAGATCAAAACCTAACTATTCAGTTCTAGAAATCCTTTTGTTCTTGAAAATGTTGCCATTTAAAAAAAGGAAAGGAAGAAAGAAAATGTTGCCATTTTATGAATATATACATGTGGGTATGGCAGAGGTGGGATGGAAGAAGACCTAGGCAAATTTAGGTAGTTAATGGTAAAAGGTGTATATGTAATCAACGGCTAAATACAGACTCAAAGGAAACAGCCAAAATGGAACAGATGTAGTTGGAATGGCCTTGTGTGAAAATGAGAACTGAATTTTTTTTAAAGATTTTATTTATTTGACAGAGACAGAGAGCACAAGCAGGGAGAGCAGCAGGCAGAGGAGAGGGAGAAGCAGGCTCCCCGAGGAGCAGGGAGCCCGACACGGGGCTCATGACCTGAGCCGAAGGCAGTCACTTAACCAACCGATCCACCCAGGTGCCCCAGGAGAATTGAATTTAACTTTAAGGAATGCTTAAGATTTGAATGGAGGAAAGGGAGATGGAAGAACATTTATGTGACCATTAAAACAATGTTGTGGTGGAGGGTGGACTGAATGGAGCCATTTTTTGGACTGTAGTGGCACAATCCTGTTGTCCTGCAGTGAACTCAAGGTAGGGTGGGGTTAGAGAGGGCTTTAGAAGTCACTAGAAGAATGTGAATTTATCTATCTATTTATGTATCTACCTACTTAAAGTTTATTTACTTTTCTTAGAAATCTCTACACCCAATGTGGGGCTCAAACTCAAGATCCCCAGATCAAGGGTTGCATGCTCTTCTGACTGAGCCAGCCAGGCACCCCCGAAGAATGTGAATTTAAACTCACAGGCCATAGGAATGCAGATTACTGAGCAAGTGCATTATGAAAAAAATAGGGATAGGCTATGACACTACTAAGAATTCATGTAGGAATTCACATAAGAATTCATAATATTCATGTAGGGATATTATGAACAAGTCAGGTTAAAAAAGATGTTGTGGAGGAAGATTTAATAGAACTCGAAATAGCTGATGTAGGCAAAAAGAAAAGAGGAGTTTAAGGGGGGGTCCTAACTTTTGTTATTCATACTTCAAAATAGAGATGTTTATTCAGTCCTTTCCTTCTTTTATGAAATAAAATTCTCCTGGGGAATGCTATAATTTTGTACAACTGTAGCCCGGCTAAGGGTGTTGATGCAGATTCCATCAAGATTATCAATCTTTGGTAAAATTTTTTGTTTGCTTTTAGAATCATGGATTCAGAGTGGAGATTCCCTTTGAAGAGGAGCTTACTTATTTTATCGTTTTATTTTATTTTATTTTACCTTATGGTTTTATTTATTTATTTGAGAGAGAAAGGACGAGCAAGGAGAAGGGGCAGAGGGAGATGGAAAAGCAGACTCCCAGTTGAGTAGGGAGCCCCCCTCCTGAGCAGGGAACCCGATGTGGGACTGGATCCCAGAACCCCGAGATCATGACCTGAGCCAAAGGCAGACGCTTAACTGACTGAGCCACCCAGGTGCCCCTACTTTATTGTTTTAAAGCAGCGATTCTCAAGGGGTTCATGAGGTCAAAGCTATTTTCATAATAATTCCAAGATATAATTTGTCTTTTTCATTCTCATTCTTTCACGAGTATAGAGTACAGCTTACCAGAGGCTACATTCTGTGTGATATCACATAGATTGAATGCAGAAGCAGATAGAAATGCAGCTGTCTCTATTAAGCCAGATATTAAAGAGATTTGTAAAAATGAAAAACAATGTCACTCTTCAGAGTAGATTTTTAAAAATGTATAGTTATCTATAATTAAAAATGCTATTTATGCTAACCCATGATGTGCTTACTGTTATTTTAAAATAAAGGTCGCTATTTTAAAAATGTCTCAGTTTTAATTTCTAATACAGTAAATGACAGCAATACAGTAAATAACCTAGAGAAACAAAACTTTTTCAGAGTCTTTAGTAATTTTTAGGAATGGAGAGAGGTCACAAGGCCAAACAGTTTGAGAACATTTGCTCAAAAGTGATACACTCCAATGTTGGTTAAAAGAGAAAAAGTTTCCACTCAGACTTTGCTATGTTCCATACACTGTAACTATCTGCCCATCATAGTGGTGTCAGAAGACTGAAATTGCTCTCAAACGCTTTTCTAGCTTACTTACTTCCAAATAAACAAGAATGATATTTCTTACCTGTGCTTGATAGTTTCCTATGAGAGAAAGGGATCTGGAAAGTTTGAGGTCCCTTTCTTTTCCTGAGGCTGTGTAAATGGGAAAAGGTGGCAGTCCCTTCAGCAGCCGAAGCCCGCAGCTAGGAATGCAGAAAGCATCCGAAAACAGAGCGAGCTGGTCGTCAGTTCTAATAGCCATCTGGGGGAGGAGACCAAGCCTCTGGGGGTGGAGACCAGGCGACTGGGAGAAAGGAGGAAGCAGGTGGAGGGAGGAGACTGTTCTGGCACGCCTTGGACTCGCTTTCAAATGTGGGCTCTTTCCTAGGGCAACAGAACTTGAAGTAATGCCAGAGAATATGGGTACTTCTTTTAATGTAAAATCACTATTTTAATGAAATAATTTCTTCTGTAAAAGTTGGAGTTCTGGCCCTTCCAAAGCTTGTGCCTCTTCCAGAAGTACTGTACTTCCTAGCTCCCTTCCTTTTCTAAAGATTCTTTTCTTTCTTTCTTTCTTTTTTTTTTAGACTTACTTATTTTAGAGAGAGAGAGAGCATGGGGAGGGTGCGGATGGAGGGAGAGAATCTCAAGAAGACTCCCCACTGAGCAGGGAGCCCAACGGGTGGGTGGGTGGGGGGCTCGATCTCATGACCCATGAGATCATGACCAGAGCTGAAACCAAGAGTCAGATGCTTAACGGACTAAGCCACCCAGGTGCCCCCCGCCCAAGCCCTTTTAAAAAAGCACCTGCTTGGTCAATTAGAAGCATCTTTTCTCACATTAATCTCTCTCTGTTTTGAGACTTTCTATTCACACTTCAGCACAAAACTTCTTCCTTATCCTGCAGTGCTGAATAATCAGCCCTATTAGAATAACCCCTATAATGTAATAATAGCACCTAAAATGTAACTTTAAAAAAGCAGAGTAAAATATTACAGCCTTGAAAATAATTAGCAGAGGGGCGCCCCGGTGGCTCAGTCGTTAAGCGCCTGCCTTCGGCTCAGGTTATGATCCCAGGGTCCTGGGATCAAGCCTCACACTGGGCTCCTTGCTCAGCAGGAAGCCTGCTTTTCCTTCTCTCACTCCCCCGTTTGTGTTCCTGCTCTCACTATCTCTCTCTCTGTCAAATAAGTAAATAAAATCTTAAAAAAAAAGTTAGAAGGGAATTCACCCACAAAAAAAGAAAGGAAGAAGATAATTAGCAGAAACGAAGTTCCTTGGACATTTTTTTCTTGAACATGTGCTAAATTGTATTACCTTGCTAGCAAGGGAATTAGGAAAGTAACTTTTCGTTTTTGCTTTTTTTTGCCAGTATAGAGCCTGTATAGAAACAGAGGGGTTCTAGAGTTAGGAAGCAAAATGTTGGGTGTTTTGTTTTTTAACAAAATAGAGTTTTCATTTTATAAGGTCATAAAAACATGTCCACAGAAGTGATTACAAAGGAAGCCTGTGGTGGGATACTCGGAGGTGCTTGGTGCAGAGACTACCAGAAGAAAAATCACACATTTAAGAAGTATATGATAAGAATACACACATGATTGAAATTGAACTAACAGATTTCCATCCTCCAACTATAGTGTATGAAAGCATGAAATGGAGTCAAACAGTGATCAGAAGCAGAGCACCAAACAAATTAATTTTAAATGGCCTATTGCTGATGATTTTTCTCCAACTGTAAAGATGTAAAATTTCTTAGTTTGGGGATAAACATTTTTTTGATACAGAGCAACCCAGATGTCTTCATGTCCTACCTATTTCACAGGATTATTTGTGAAGGTTAAATGAGATGATGATAGCCCTTTGAATATTTTTTTAAATTTTATTTTATTATGTTATGTTAGTCACCATTCATTACATCAGCCCTTTGAATATTTTAAAGCACTAGACAACTATAACTCTCCACACACTCTCATTTATTCTTACTCATTTAGTTTATGCAATGGAGATAGCATTTTAAAAATAAAATAAAATGTCCCCGGTGTTCTCTTAATCTGGCGTAAACATTTATGTATTAGGTGGAATCATTTTTCCTGGAAATATTTTAGAAACTAGATAACTATCTCTTTAGATATCATACAATGTGAAGTCTGGAAGAGGAATTAGATCAGTATTTCCCAGACTTTTGGATTTACTGGACTATTAAGAATAATAACCACAATAAGAATAATGCAGAAGAGTGAAACACTGAGCAGGCAACTTTATATTTTGCCAAGTAAGGGCATTAAAAATCTTTATATTTTTATTTCATGAAAGACCGCTTTAACACCAAAAAAATTAGGAAGTACATAGTACCAGAGTAAAGGACAATTCTTTCAAGCAGATGCTGTGGCTTTATGAAAAACTCATTACTTTCCCCCCTCATTTTATCACACATGGTGAAAATTTCAATACAGATTGGCTATCAATCCTCAAACAGTGATTGGGATCCTATAAAGACTGTCAAGGGCGCCTGGGTGGCTCAGTCGGTTAAGCGTCTGCCTTCGGCTCAGGTCATGATCCCAGGGTCCTGGGATCGAGCCCCGCATCGGGCTCCCTGCTCCTTGGGAGCCTGCTTCTCCCTCTCCCACTCCCCCTGCTTGTGTTCCCTCTCTCGCTGTGTCTCTCTCTGTCAAATAAATAAATAAAATCTTAAAAAAAAAAATACTGTCAATAATAACTCCCTAATTATCTAGTCTAGTTTTATTAAAGGACTTATATTTCACAATATCAGCAAATCAAATTAAACAGAATATTTTCTGGGAACTTACTTAAAACGAATGGCTTTTTCACAAGTAGCTAATAAACATACACAAGTCTTTATGACAACTTACATTGAGATAAACCAAAGGGAAAAAACCTTAAGTTAGTTTGCTAAGGTGCAAGAGTGCGTACCTGGAATTTATGGACAATGTTATTGACCTTTGCTTTATGAGGTGATTTTTTTCCCTTCCACATCAACTAACTGGGCATAACCTTAGAATGTCTTTGAAATTGCAGGTCAAAGTCGCCCCATGAAAGCACTTCCAAGTATGTGAGCCATATATGTTAGAAAGTATTTTTTGAAAGCTGCCGATTGAGGGTGACTAAACCTATTGACATCAGGAAACGAATCTTCCAGAAGGGTGTGATTCTGAAAGTGTGGTTGCACCAGAGAAACAGGCGAAGGAATAGAGAGTCTGGGTCTGCAAGTTTCGCTTGCGAGCTAGGGGAACACTGGCTTCCTTCAGACTTCCTTCAAACACGCCATGTGGTATAGGATCTAAGTTTTATTTGAGAAGTAGTGTCGGGTGTCCCGCGCTGCGTTCCTTTACTGACGTTCCAAACGGGTGGGACACACCCCACCCAGCCTCGCTCAGGCAATTCTTCTTTCCTGAGAGACTAGTCTCAGAGTTTTCCCATCTTCTCCACACACTTGGAGGAAAGGAGACATTTTTGTTTCAGAGATTCCAAGTCCGGGGGAACAGCGGGAGATGAGAGGAAGACAGCCACCCCTCCGCCAAACGCCGAGGGGCTCCTGGCCGGGCCTGAAGCCCCGGCTCTGGGCTCCGGGAGCCTGCGCAGCTCGTCACGTGACTCACGTGATTCACGCGCTGACTGCTGGGAGCCCGCGGAGACTGCGCTCGCGCGTGCGAACCAGGTCTCTTCATTCCCGCGCTTTCGCTGAAGAGGAAGGTCGCGACGCCATGTAGTAGACTGGGCTTGGGATGGGGCTGGAGGGATGCGTGCCCTTGGGAGTGTGAAACCAGGCAGCGAGAGGATGTCTCTCACAGGGACGTTAGTGGGTCTGAAATACAAGCAGGGAGGAAAAGACAGCGGGGAGGGTAGTGAGAAAAAAGGTAGGTGAAATGGCCACAGGGGCCCGCTGGGCGTTGAGAAGAAAGAGAAGACTGGGAGAACAAAGTTGCGTAAGGTGCAGGGTCATTGCTTGGTAAGGTCTAGGCCACCGGAACATTGGATTGCATAGCCGAGGTTCGCGGCTGCGAATGGGGTGTGTCACAGGAGGACCCCCAGCCTTTTGACCCGGCCTGGATTCAGCGGGGGGCCCTAAGTTATGACAGAAAAAAAAAAATTATTTTTGCAGAAACAGAATTACCGAACTGTAGAGATTTTCATTTGCTATACACGCACGTTCTGTTACTCTGAGAGAGGAGAGAAGAGGTGTGGAAGGAAAAGGGAAGAGAAAAAGGGGAAGGGAGAAGAGAACGGCTGTCACGCTGGCTTCTCTTTTCGAACTTCCCAAGGCAAAGCGAGCACTACTGTGCATGTATGTTTTCTGCGTGCTCCTATTACAGCACTTACATGCTTGAAAGTACTGACAACGCTGTAGGAGCACTATAGGGAATTTATTATTTATTATTTGTTGTTGTGTCTTTCTGTCTTGTTTATAGGAACATGATATATGACTAATCAGATTCATTACAATTATCCAGATCATCATCGTTTCTCCAAAAAAAGCAAAGTAAATTGACAGTCGAGTATAGACAGGCTCCTCATCGCTTAAGGGGTAGAGGCTATCCCCTTGTAGGTTTCTACATTTTTTCTTTGTTTGAACGCACTCTTTCAGATTCCTAGGGAGATGATTTTCAGAGTTTATGGGAAAGTAGTTTAAGAGTAAAATTCGATGCTATATTAAGGTTAAGATAGGGCAGTGGAAACTCAGGAAATCTTGGTTCTAGTCTGGCTCAGTTTTACTTGTTTGAACTTGGTCAGCGTCTCTGCTTCTGTTTTCATGTCTGTGGGAAATGACACTGAATTAGATGAACTATAAGATACATTTCAACATTAAGGCTTTTTGAAGGTACAAGAATCTTAAATTCTGAAACAGGCAGAAGTGCCAAAGTGACTAGTTTTGCTGAGGGTGTAGATGAAAATCATAGGAACGGTAGGTTGGGCCCAAGTGATATAGGACTTTGGGTGCCGTACCATGGAAATTGAACTCATTCTGGAGCAATGAAGAGTGGGAAGGTTTTTTAAGGGAATATGGTAATCAGTTTTGAAAGATTGCCCAAATATCAGTTGATAGGATGGAATAGGGCAGGGAGAAAGTGGGTAGTTCGGATAAGTGACAGATAATGAGAGCCTAAATTAAATTGATGGGACTGGAAAGAAAGGGAAAGACTCACAAACGCTATAGCATGGAGTTCATACTTATATTTGGCATTCCTCTAAACTTGCAGCTCTCGCCTCCGGAATATGATGGCAAGTCACATTGTAAAACCTGATACTAGAAATTGCAAGAGACCAAGAGAACTAGAGGTAATCCATATGCTCCTGGAGCCTTAATCTTTAGTTTTATTTTTTATGCTTCTCAAATTTTTTTCTATTTAAGAAAGTGCTCCTGATGAATGGAATTTGATGTTTTCATATCCCCAGAAGTGGGATTGTCCCAGCAGGAACTATGTTGACTCCAGCTGCTTTTTCAGTAAATAGTATAGGCTTTCAAGAAACTATTGGGAGATGAAATTTCTTTGTTGTAACTGGTGATGGAGAAACAGAAATGGGTTCATGCCTATATAATACATAGGATTTTAAGTAATTGTTTTGCTCTAATAAGTAGGATACTTAGGTACTATAGTTGCTGATATTTTTAATTAAGAGCACTGTATTCTGCCCTTCTTCTCTACTCCTCCCACTACTTGATCTGTTTGCATTTGGGACGTTATTGCTTCCTTAAAGATTATGTTATCTTGCAAAATTTTGCAAGCATTTGCCTATTGTCTGAATGAAAGTTTTACTATATTGCTATGGAAACATCTACCGGTTCAAGATACAGGAAACTTTTTCATCAAGGGATTAATACCATATTCAAAGTCTAATGTAAAACGAAAGTAATAATAAGTATATTGAACAAGGTACTTGTTAGGCCTAAAATTTTCTCGATAATAAAACTTCAAATGACTAATTAGGACATGAATGTGTATAGTTTCTAGCATGTGTGCTTTTTTCCTGGAAGATGTTTTATTTGCCTTTTTGGGGGACAGAATGCATTTGTCCTAAGGATCTTGTTGACTATCTGTTTTCTTTCTTCTATTAGCCTCAAATGCCAGAGAGTCCACAACTGTCCTCTCTTGGAAAATCAGAATCCTCTTTCTTGGAAAGCTCTGGACTATTTTATAAAGATGAATCCCTGGACAAAGATTTGAATGGTGATATACAAAATGCGTATATTTCTAAACATTGATTTTATAATACAGAAGGTTTATTATAGTTCGCAACTTACTCAGTGATTTTTTTTGAACAGATATGAGCAAGGAAATTAATCTAATGTTGTCTACATATGCAAAGATCTTAAGGCAAGTACTTATAGCATATCCTTTTGAGTCTTTCTCTTAGAAATAATTTTTTTCTGGAAACTCCATAATGGGAAGTTTAGTTCAGTGGCTGCAGACCTATCCAGTAATTGTAATTTCAGAGTTTTTTTTTCTACCTTAGTTTTTTAAAATAGATTAGTTGGTTATTTTCAAAGAATAACCCCAACTTTTCCACTCAACATCCTTTGTTTTGTTATTACCAGAGCTAAATACTAGGCTGGATGTATTTTGGTCTCTAATAAAATTCTAACATTTAATGAAAAACTTCTTTGAGAAAAATGCCATTTGTTGAAGTTAATGATAAGAGTGATATTAAAGATAAAATAAATATATTTATGAAATATTTAAATATTATGTCTGATATCTGAAGAGTGTATTTAAATATTTTATTGGCCTGAGATTATCATGTTTATAAGGTGTTCTTTTTGTTGTTGTTTTGTTTTGTTTTTTAAGGTGGGTTTTTTTTAACTACTGGACACCATTGTATTTGGATGATGGTTTATGTGGTTGTTAAAATAATGTATATAGTTTAATATTAGAATTATAATGTATTATAAGATATATAGTCTGCAGTGTCAGGAGACTTTGAATAGTCAAAAATATTTACATGACTAATTTAACTTTTACTGAAGACTGTTTCTAAATTAAGGAAGCTTTTTGATGTACAAAGCTATTTAAATGAAGTAGCTAACAAGTATAACATAATAAAGAACATCACTGTGATAGTCACTAGACATTCTAACTATTTAGTTTAACATAAAACTTTTTTTTCCTCATTAGTGAGAGAGCAGCAGTAGATGCATCTTATATTGACGAGATAGATGGACTCTTCAAAGAAGCCAATACTATTGAAAACTTTCTAATACAAAAAAGAGAGCTCCTGAGACAGAGGTTTACAGTGATTGCAAATACACTGCACAGATAAAATTGTGTACTTAAAATAATCTGAGAATTTAAGCCCATTATTGTTGTATTAAAAGAATGACATTTATGCTCTGAAAGCTCTCTAGTTGTTAAAGAAAATGTGTGCCTTAAACATAGAAGGGGAAATTCCTTGAATTTCTTTTCTAGATTTAAAAGGGACTTTAAACTGGACATTAATATGAAGCATGTAGTTTTTTTTTTTTTGAGGGTTAAATATTCGGCATATTTCATAAAAGTGTAAATTATTTAAATTGCATATAGATTCTTTTTTTCCTTAAGCCTCCTAGCCTTTCTTAAAATTCTAAAAGAGGACTCACTGAGTTATTTTGATAATGTTTAACAATATTGCACTTTTCTTTTAAAATACTCTGTCTAAATAGCAGCTAGATAGCTATGGAGATAGTTTTAAAATGTTTTTCATAGTCAGTATTATAAAAAACCCTAAAACCTCAAGGTAATTTGTCCAGTTTCACAATATGTAATAAAATATAACTATAAGGTATTGCTATTTAATGTTACCATTTGATTATTTTCACTATTAGTTATTATATATGACTAATAAAAATTCTTGGTTTAAAATTATTTCTTGTGGTAAAAGTGATAAAATAAAAACCAGAAATTACTAACCAAAACCTTACATGAGTTGGCTTTTTTACATATCAACCGTATCAATGGTGCAGTTAATGAATTATATTTAGAGCCTTAGCAACTGTGTGGTATGGGACAAAAATTAGTGATCCAGAAGTAAAAAGATTGCCTAAACAACAAGGTAAACTTGATGAGTCATTTCAAACCTATTATAATTCATAAATTGAATTTCAATTAGAAGATCTCTAAAACTCACCTAGCTAAAAAAAAAAAAAAAATTCTCTAAAAAAAGGTTAGAAGGTACTGCTATGATTTTATTGAAGACTTTTAATATGTTATATAATTATATATGATAACTATTATATGTGATAACTATATTAATCAGGTTTTTAAAAATCACAGTATGCATTTTTCAATCATATAGATAATTCAATCTATTTTATATATATTTTACCAATATAAGCAGTCACACATTTGGACATATTTACAAATAGCACCACAGGGAATTTGGTATTCCTCTGGTGTATAGCATATTTGCCTTGCTGCCTTCTAAATGTTAAAATCTCATTTGACAACTAAAGCAGCAATCAGATTACTATTTTAAGGCATATATACCACATTACATAAATACTCATATAAGAAAGGATTGAAATGGTAAAATAAAATATTACCTAAAAATATTGGTTAAGTGGAAAAAATTAATTAGGTTTGTAGAGGGATATGCTAATGGTGCAGGGTAGGTTGGAGGTCAATGAAATAACTATTAGTAATGGAATTTTAAAATACTAAATGTAACCAGAAGACTATATTTGAGTTGATATGACATGTCACCTGGATTTTGATTTACTCTGTTAACTTACAGAATTTTTTAATGTTCTAAATACAAAGACGTCTCTCCTGACACATCATAATTAAACGTTTCTGAGTTATTTTTTCTAAGCATTTATTACTAATGAGAAAGACAAGGCTAACATTGTTTCGGAGTGCATTTCATAACATGCTTGTTATATCTTGATGGTGTCACCGTTGTTCAGCATGTGGTTCTTTCCTATGCTGGTTCAGAGAATTGGTTTGATCATTTCATTTGGTCTGATTAAGACTAGGGAACTGATTTTTAGTCACAATGTGTTTACTGGTCAGAACAGCTACCTCCTAGGGTAAAAGTTCCTGAAAGCCTAATTAAGACTGATTTTTACCAAATTTTGATGTCTTTGGTACCATCCACATAAACAAGAATAATTATCTCTGAATAATTAACAACTGCAGATATGTTATTGCCCTTTAATTTACACTTCTAATATTACTCATTTCAATAAAATTTCACAAGTTTATAAATTATTTCTCACTGGTTACCAATAAAAATAGATATTGAATGTCTTGTACATCATACTCTGCTAGGCATTGTGGGGAATACAGAATAGTTTTGTTTTTTTTTTTAGATTTTATTTATTTATTTGACAGAGAGAGACAGCAAGAGAGGGAACACAAGCAGGGGGAGTGGGAGAGGGAGAAGCAGGCTTCCCGCTGAGCAGGGAGCCCGATGCGGGGCTCTATCCCAGGACCCTGGGATCATGACCTGAGCCGAAGGCAGCCGCTTAACCGACTGAGCCACCCAGGGGCCCCTGGAATACAGAATAGTTTAAGGTACTCTTTGTTCTCCCTTCTGACAGTTGTCACCACAGCTTTCTTGAAACATCTTACATGTCTTTGGTAGGAAGACATGATAGGTAAATGTTAGAAGTATCTCTGTGCAGTGCTAGTTAACTCCTTTTAGTGTGAGTTACTAGAATATGTTGGCAAAGGGGTCAGAAAGGTAGTGAAATGGGTTTTTGATAAGGAAAGAGGGAGGATATTTCAGGCAGGGGAAAGTTTGTTAAAATGGCACTGAAGAACAAAAATACATGGTATGTTGGATAAGCTTTTTCCTGAGCTGAGAATTCACAAAGGGCAATAGTGCATCATCTAAACTGTTGGAGAGCAGGGACTGAATCTTGTTTCCTTATATTCATAACTTGTAGTACAGTATTTGATATATTGGTGCTCAAAAGTGTTGGTTATGTTAATAAAAATATACGTGGTTATACATTTATTAAGGGCATACTTCCACAGAGCCTTATTCATACTAGATTGTCAGAAAATGTTTTGTAAATTAAATAAATGGAAAAGAAAAGGAAGGATGAAATGTTAGAAGGCAGAGGGTCAAAAGATGGAAAGGTAGGTGTGGCCAGATTGTAGAGTCCTTTGTTGATAAACTACATTTGGACTTTATTCTGTAAGGAAAGAGATGTGAATCTTTCAGAAGAGAAGTGGCATAATGAAACTGAGCCATGGATCAAGGCGCTTAATTGTAATGTGAGAAGAGGTTTGAAAGAAGAAAGTTTAGGAAGGGAGACCACTATTGGTGGTCCAATTTCAGAATTTCAAACAGCTGCTTATCATAGGTAGGTAGTTGGGATACTTCTGACAATGCGACCGACCTACAGGAGAGATTGCAGGTGTCTGGAAGCCCCATCCCTTGTCTGCCCTCCTGGACTTCCTCCCCCATTCCCTCCTATTCTGTCAGTGAGCCAAGGACAGCCCAGGAAGTGAGTGGGAGGTTTTGGAAATCACAGGATCTGCTGCTGCTAAATTCGATACCAGAATGTTTTTTCAGACCTTTCTCCATTTTGTCAGCAACCTTTCTACCGTTGCAGTAGGGTTCCTTTCTATGGTAGTATCCTGGATCCCAGGTAGGGGATTTGCCCCTTCCTCCTCCCCTTCCTCCTCTTCCTAGCCGCTCAGGCTTCCAATTCTGTGCCTCTTTTCTGAAGAGTACTGGGGGCTTCTGAAGCTTTTCACTCTGTGTGTGGCAGATACAGGCAGCAACCCCACAGAGCTGCGAGTTAAGGAAGACTGAGTCAAGATTTGTTTACTTGTCAGGAGAACAGTCTTTCCATTTGTATATTTTATATAACATGGGGCAGGATCAGGGTTTAGGGATTCTCTTGGATCTGCAATAGGAAGAATATTCACTGTTTAGACCCTTCTCAGTTGAAAATCATTGCTACATGTCCTAATGTAAATGTTTTATTCTTCTGTTTGCATTCTGGGGGACTGCCTTTAAAACCTCTGGTTTTGTTTTGTAGCTTTCTATTTTAGCTACTATTGTTACATGATTTTATTTCTTGAAATTGGCTGATGTTGAGCTTTCAGAAATCATACTAATATGCACTATAAACTTTAAAATTATTTAATTCAATAATTTAGTACTTGCAGTATGCAAGGCAGTGTGTTAGGTCCTGGAGTGGGAGGAAAAACAAGTGACCCTTTACTCAAGGAATACCAGTAGTAGAAGTTATAAATTGTATTCATCTTTATCACACAAGAGAGAGTAAGATGAGTGCCGTAACAGAGCTGAAATAGATGCTGTGTGAGTTCAGACTAAGGAGAATCAGTTCTTGTTATAGGAAATGGGAATGTTGTGTTTAAGAAGCAGGTGATATGTGCACTGGATCTTGAAGGATGAGTAGGGTAAGTGAATTTCACCTGGAGGAGATGGGAAATATCCTAGGTGAAGAGAAGGGTATAATTGTGACGAGGAGAAGAGAATGGGGAGTGGTTTAGTTTGGCTGGAGTGGAAGGCATTAGTGAGGGGGCACCTGGACAGGTAGGTTGGTGTGAGATTGTACAGTGCCTTCAGTGCCTGGCCAAGCAATTTAGACTTGACTTGGTAGACAGTGAGGAGTCATTTGTGAGGGCTTTTGGAGGATTATTTGATACAATCATATCTGTACTTAGGAAGATTAATTTAGTAGCAGTGCTTCCTAACCTTTTTCACATCATAGCACACCTAGAGAATGATAATATTTTTACCTCACACTGGAGTAAATTGGATGGGATCTGGAGCCCCATGAACTGTTTAGAGCTGGAGGCAATTGGCCTGTGGCCTCTAGCCATCCCAAGGGATAAAGGGATCAAGAGGCCCAACCATTTGGAGGCCCCCATAGTGTTTAGCTTCCCTATCTGGTTTCTCCTTCCAGTTAAGAGACTCTGATAATATTATCTAAGAGGTTGTGAGGGCCTAAATTAGGACAGTAGAAAGAACGTGACTGATAGGTAAGAGCAATTGAAGCATTGATGCTGAGGAGGACAGGTTTGGGCCAGAAGAAAAATTGGGGGGGGGGGCGCTGCCCAGGTGGTGTGGACTAGCACAAATCTTTACAAAGGATTTGCCCGAGGCACCCTTGTAGACTTCTGAGCCCTAGTAATTTATACTAGCCCCCCTATATCATTCCTGTAACATTCTCTTCCTGGCCCTGTCTGGTTATAGTCAGAATTTAACCTCTTAGTGAATGTGAGGGGACAGTGAAGAAGAGGAATTAAAGGCCCACGCAGAGATTTTGAAGCTAGATGATTTTGCAGGTGGGAAAAATGGATTTCGAAAGGGGAAAATGAAGAATTCTCTTTTGACATGTTGAGAGCCACCTGCAAGAAGTACTTGGTGAAATTAAGGGACTAGATGAGACTACCAAGGAGAGTGTGCTGAGATTTTTATAAAGAGTAGAGGTCCAAGGTCAGACTCAGGAGGTGATAAGGGGAAGAGGAGCACTTAAGGGAGTTGACATTTGGAAATTATCTACTACCATATTTAGTTATGACAACAAACAAATGGGAAGTATTATCTTCCTTTCATTCCCATTAACCCCATTTTATCATTGAAAAACTTGAGGCTCAGAGTGATTAGTAACTTACCCAAGGTTGTCAGCTAATAAGTGAAGCTAGCATAAAGCAAACAAAGAGGGAGCAAGGAAGTTAGAGAAGTGTAGTATTTTCAGGAACCAAGAATAGAAAGGGATTTAAGGAAGTATAGATCACAATATCAAGTACCGTGGAAAGTTTGAAGAGTATATAAAAAACTGCCAATAACATGCTATGGAGTATAGAACATATAGACATGTAAGTTTTTTTCTAAAATGTGAAGTGTTTTAAGTTCATGAATCTCTATTCAGACAAATGTCCAATCAGGGTATTCAATTTAATTCTACTTAAGTGAGAAGACTAAAGTAACTGACCTCAGGACATTTATTTTAATGTAAGAGGAGAGTGAGATGAATAGGCATAATATAAATAAAAGTAGTAAGATAAATGCCTAAGCGTTTCAAAGCATCCTCTTTATACCTCTAGTATTGTGGTTCTCAGATTTTAATATGTCTAAGAATACTTCCTTGCTGTATCCCAGAAATTCTGATTAGGTCCAGGGTGGAGTCCATGAATCTGCATTTTAGCAGTAATACCATGTATTTCTGTTCCAAGTGACCTTTAGACCGTACCTTGAGAAACAGTGCTCAAACAAAACACTGATTATAGTATAAATGATCTGTTTATATGTTCATTTACATCGGGTTTGAGTACTTTTTATCCCTCACCAGTTACTACTTTATTGAATGTATAAATAATTCGAAGGAAGATGATATTACATCTTGTTGGTTTGAGCATTAAAAGCTATGTAAATAATGATAGCTAACATTTTTGAGTATTTACTATGTTCTAAAAACTTTACATAACCTAACTCATTTATTATTCATAGCCTTAGAAGTAATAAGAATTATTATTATCTCCACCTTAGAAAAGAGGAAACAGAGCACAGAGAGGTTGCCTTGCTCAAGGCTATTTACTTGGAAAATGGCAGGTCAGGATTTGAACCCAAGCAATCTGGAGCCTGGCAGAACCTGGGCCAGTACTCTTATTAAATATTACACTACAATTCCTCATAAAGGAGGTAGATTTGAGATAGAATTTGAACAATACTAGCATTTCCTTAGGGATAGATTAGTCAATTTTATTTGGGAAAGCAGGAAATAGTTGGGTTTGACTGAATTGTTACTTACAGGAAAGTAGAAGGAATCATGTACTTTAAACTGAATTTTATAAAGATTTGAAAGAAATGAGATGATAGATATAACATTGTAAAATATTTTGCTAAAATAATGCAAATCTCACTTCTTCAGAGGAATAGGGTCTCTGTGTATTAGTTTTTCTAGTTTAGACTTCTATATTACTGTTAAAATTTTATGAAATAAAATACAGCACTGTCTAATTAATTACATATCTGACCACCCCTCTGTGTTAGGTAACACTACCTTGTGAACACCAAATAAATATGAAGTAAAAGGGATAATTTTCAGCTTCTTATATAATAATATTTTTTTTTCTTGTGGCTTTTGAACTTTAGGTAATTTCAGACCAGGTCTCACTACATAATTTAGTTCATGACACCCTTCTTTTAGAAAATGCCATGCACGTTCATGCATATGTCATTAAAATGGAAGAAACTGAATTACAGTTCCTACTAAATTCTCATAAATTGCTGTGAAATCTTTGGCATCCCGTTCTGGTGTAATGTAATTAGGATAGTGATGAATAGTGGTCATTTTTTATCATAACAGTGAGGTTGCTTTTAGCACATCTGAGGTTAATACGTAGATTCAGTCTTGTGAAAAGAGGAACATTTTTCAACCATGAGAAATGATAATAATAATACAGTCCTGAGTTAATTCTTAGGCAGATTTGTACTGCAAGAATACAAAAAAAAGGATTGTTGTAGTTAAAAAATGGAGAGCCAGAGAGGTGACAGTTTGAGAATGAGGATGGAGAGGAATTTGGAGACTATATTTGGTGATGGGTTTACTTTTCCCTTACCAGGAGGTAAGAGTATTGTCTATGGAGAAACAGGCATCTTGTACAATTTTTTTGTGCTCTTGATTTCCTCTTCACAGTACCATGGAAAGTACTCATCAGAAGAAGGCAACCTTCGGTAAACGTGAGAAGCTTCCATGTATTGCACCACTCCTAACCACGGTGGAAGAGACGCCACAGATGGTCTCTGCTCAAGTCCAAGGACATTTTCCCAAGTGGCTCAGTGGCTATCTACTTCGAATTGGGCCCGGGAAATTCGAGTTTGGGAAGGATAAGTAAGTCTTGATTTTGGAGAACAATTTGGATTTTTTAGCATGGCTGGTTCAATAGAATATCCTTTAAATCTGTTTTCTCTCTGAGGCTAACATTGTCATGCAGCTCCTTTGAATACAGGTGAGAAAATTGTAGTCTACAGAAAAAAAAAGAGAGACTTAATTCTTAAAAAAAAAAAAGTCCTGACTTTTCTGCTTTGCAGAGGATTACGAATTTGTAGTCCTCTGAGGGCTTATGGCAAAAGAGAAGTGTCAGGAACTGTCTGTATGACTACCGAGCTGTGTTTCACCACAAGTTCCTGAAGGAAGGGGCAATGTCTTCACCTCATACAGCTCCCCTGCCCAGTGCTCCCCAGACACAATGGCTCTTCCAGTTCCTTAAACTGGACACACATATTTTTGCTCAGGGTGTTGGCATTGGCTCTCATCTATCTTCCCAAGTCTGATTCTTGTCATTCAGGTATCAGCTCATATCTCACGTCCTTTGAGCCTTCCCTGATCCCCAAATCTAAAAATGCTATTATTAAATATATTACCTATTGGGGCACCTGTGTGTCTCAGTCAGTTGAGCATCTGACTCTTGGTTTCTTGGTTTTGGCTCAGGTCATGATCTCAGGATCTTGAGATTGAGCCCAGTGATGGGCTTGGCACTCAGCTCAGAATCTGTTTGTCCCTCTCCCTGTGCTCCCCTTGCTCGTGTGCATGCTCTCTCTCAAATAAATAAATAAAATCTTTTTAAAAAATGGTATTACCCATTTTAATTCTCTGCACAGCACTATCAAATGCCTAGTATTTTTTTGTTTTTGTTTTTATGTTTGTTTACTGACTGTGTTCCTCCACTAGAATATAAGTTCCATGTAGGCCCTGCTCTTAAATAGCTCTCAATAAATACATGTAAATAAATGAAAAACACCAATAACTCTTTTTTTAAAATTTTATTTTTATTTTTAATTTTTTTTATTCTTATGTTAATCCCCATACATTACATCATTAGTTTTAGATGAAGTGTTCCATGATTCGTTGTTTGTGCACAACACCCAGTGCTCCATGCAGAACGTGCCCTCCTCGATACCCACCACCAGGCTAACCCATCCTCCCACCCCCCTCCCCTCTAGAACCCCGTTTGCTTTTCAGAGTCCACCGTCTCTCATGGGAAAAACACCAATAACTCTTATGTATATTATTTCTCTGTACATTTAGTAGGGACATGAAGTGATGTAAAGAAACCCCTATGGTAAGGAAGGAATCTTCTTTGCTTTAAACATTTTTCAATATTAAAAACTTTTTTTCATTATGAAAGTGTTTACTTATATAAAACTTTCTGAAATATAGAACAGAGTGGAGGAAAATGTGGACCATATCCTCTGTTAGCACTTTGGTATATTTCCTGCTAGTCTTTGCCCCATTTCTATAGATTGGTTTTAAATAATTACAATCATATTGTATGTAGAATTTTTTTATTGAAATATAATTGACATGACATCATATTAGTTTCAGGTGTACAACATAATGATTTGATATTTGTATGTGTTGTGAAATGGTCACCACAGTAAGTCTAGTTAGCATCTGTCATCACACATAGTTACAAACATTTTTTTTCTTGTGATCAGGACTTTTAAGATTTATTCTCTTAGTAACTGTTAAATATGCAATATGGTATTATTGACTATAGTCACCATGCTATATATTACATTTCCATTACTTATTTTTGTACCTTTTGACTTCCTTCACCCATTTCACCCGCCCTTACTCCCCGCCCCCCATATCTTGCAGCCAACAATCTGTTCTGTGTGTGTATCTATGATTTGGGGGTTTTCTGTTTTTTGTTTGGTTTGGTTTGGTTTTTAAAGATCCCATACATAAATGAGATCATATGATATTTGTCTTTCTCTGATTTATTTTATTTAGCAAAATGTCCTTACCATGCTGTCACAAATGGTATTCTTCTTTTTTATGACTGCATAATATTCCATTGTATATACATATACCACATCTTCTTTATGCATTCACCCACTGGTGGATACTTAGGTTGTTTCTGTATCTTGGCTATTGTAAATAATGCTATGATGAATGAGGGGGTGCAGATATCTTTTGGAGTTAGTGTTTCTGTTTTCTTAGATAAGTACCCAGAAGTAGAATTACTGGATTATGTGGTAATTCTGTTTTTAATTTTTTGAGGAAACTCCATACTGTTTTCCACAGTGGCTGTACCAATTTGCATTCCCACCGACATTGCATGAGGGTTCCCTTTTCTCAACATCCTCACCAACATGTGCTATTTCTCATTTCTTTGATACTACCCATCCTAACTGTGACGTGCTGTTGTGGTTTTGCTTGCACTTCCATCATGATTAGTGATGTTGAACATCTTTTCATGTGCCTCTTGGACATCTGGATGTCTTCTTTGGGAAAATGTCTATTCAGATCTTCTGCCCATTTTTTAATTGATTGCTTATTTATTTTTTATTTTTTTAAAGATTTATTTATTTATTTATTTAACAGAGAGAGATACAGCAAGAGAGGGAACACAAACAGGGGGAGTGGGACTCCCCGCGGGGAGCCCTACGTGGGGCTCGATCCCAGGACCCTGGGATCATGACCTGAGCCGAAGGCAGACACTTAACGACTGAGCCACCCAGGCGCCCTTTTTTTTTTTTTTTAAAGATTTTATTTATTTATTTGAGAGAGAGAGAATGAGAGAGAGAGAGCACGAGAGGGAAGAGGGCAGAGGGAGAAGCAGACCCCCTGCTGAGCAGGGAGCCTGATGTGGGACTCGATCCCGGGACTCCAGGATCATGACCTGAGCCGAAGGCAGTCGCTTAACCAACTGAGCCACCCAGGCGCCCCAGGCGCCCTTTTTTATTTTTAAAAGATTTTATTTATTTGACAGAGAGAGAGGGAGAGAGAGAGAGCGAGAGAGAGAGCACAAGCAGGGGGAGTGGCCGGCAGAGGGAGAAGCAGGTTCCCCACTGCACAAGGAGCCTGATGTGGGACTCGATCCCAGGACCCTGGGATCATGACCTGAGCTGAAGGCAGACGCTTAACCAACTGAGCCACACAGGTGCCCCCGATTGTTTATTTTTTTGCTGTTGAGTTGTGTGGGTTCTTTATGTTTTGGATATTAATTGAGTTTTTTTGCCCTGATTTAAAAACTTTCACACTATCATAAGCCTTTTAATCCATGTTGCTATGAAATCTGAATGACCGTTATTTTTGATGGCTGGATGGGAAGGTGGTTTGGAGGCAGAGAAAAAGGTGAATCAGCTGGCCTATAGATCCCCCTGGTCCTAATCAGTAGAGTTGTGCTTTCTTCTACTTACATATCTGGATTCCATGCAAGTTATAATTTGAAGAAAGATTCTAAGGCAAAAAGAAGGAGGAGGAGGAAGAGAAAAATAAAACTACCGATCCAACCCTGAGAGAGTAACAGCCTCTTGCAAAAAGCATATGGTCTTTCATCTGCTGCTGAAGTAGCTCTAGTAATTTTTAAAACCAAGCAGCAGAGCTACTTAGGGCCTAGGCTTGCACTACAGGCCTCTTTAAAGGTAAACGTCTTCGTGGGGGAGGTGGTGGTGTGGCTGGTCGTCCTGAGTGTCTACTTTGTACTTCAAATCCATTTCTTCTGAGCCAGCAGTAAGCATTTACAGCAGGAACAGGGTCTGGCCTTCCCCTTGGGTGTGAGGTACAGATGCCTTCAGGTCAAAGAGGAGGTTTGGTTTAGTGCTCGGCTCCCCAGATTAGACTTCCTGGGCCGGCGGAGACCTAAAGCCCGGGCACCCCAACCTGCGAATGAGAGTAGCCCCACTCAGTCCTGAGTCTCTGGTCCCTTTGTGAGACGCCGCCATTCAGGAGTCTCTGTCAACATGCCGACATAGTAGCGACAGGAGAAAGGCCCTTCTTCAATCAGAAGTATTTTATCAATGATTTCATCCATGATATCAATGATTGCATGCTTATCAGTTTTTAAAATGGCATGAGTCTGGGTAGAATAGGAACTTGGTGTCTCCAGGACATGTTTAGCATTCCTTGTACTTTCCAGCTTCCTGCAGCGTGTCCCTTCCTGAAGCCTCCTTCATTCGGTTTGTCCTTCTCACTATTAACGGCAAGCGGGCCGACTTCATAGTGAAGAGGGGCAATTGGATTGGAGCTCCTTCCACTGCCCTCTTCCCCACCTCCAAACTTCTCCACAAAAGTACCTTCTCCTGCCTCCTCGTGATCAGATGTGTAAGTGGCCCTTGTCCTCTCCTCTGAAACCTTGCCCCATCATTCACACCGTCCCCTTGTGTCTGTTTCTCCTTCACCTACCCCTCATCTTGGCCTCAGATGTCCTCTCATCCTAAAACACCCTCATTCCCTATTCCACCTTCCCCTCTCGCTAATACCTGTTCTCCTCCCCTCACTGCCTCTGTTTACCTGCTTCCTGGTGTCTTCTCCGTTCGCTGCCCTCTGACTTTTAACCCACCACTCTACAGTATCTGTTCTCAGAAAGGTCACCAAAGCCTGTTAATTATTAAACAAGATGGACTTTCCAGTCCTTAGCCTGACTTTTCAATAGTGTTCAACATTATTGACCACCCGTCTTAAAATTCTCTCATCCCTAGATTCCTCCATAACAATTTCTCCTGATTCTTTTCTTTTCTTTTCCTTTAAAAGATTTTATTTATTTATTTGAGAGAGAGAGAGAGAGAGAGAGAGCATAGTGCGCACACACACGGGTTGGGAGAGGGGCAGAAGGAGGGGGAGAAGCAGACTCCCTGCTGAGCAAAGAGCATGATGCTGTGCTTGATTCCAGGATCCTGAGATCAGGACCTGAGCCTAAGGCAAATACTTAACCCAACTGAACCTACCAGGCACCCTCTCCTGATTCTTTTTCTATCCATCATCAGATTGCTCATTCTAAAATTAAGTTTTTGTTGCTCATCTCACTTCACTTGTGCCTTTGATATTGATACATCCCAGCCTCTGCCCTGAGTATTCCTCTTCTCTTATTATACGCTTTCTTT